GGCCTCAGGGAGCAGAGTGCTTAGCAGCCTGGGCCCTGAACCAACCTCCCCTATCCAGCTTGAAATCCCCACAGGGTATATTACCTCTCCCTGCCTTAGTTTCTTCATGAGTAAAGTGAGAGTGCTAGCCCAGATGTCCACCCTACAAGACATGGAAGAGTAAGCATGGCATTATTTGTGGAAAGCTTTAAGAACGGTGTCCCGCGTGGGAGGTAGACACTCCATGTGTAAATTGTTTGATTGCAAAGGAAGCTATTACCTGCTTCTGGGATTGGAAATCATTATTTCCCTACTATGTAGCCACAATGATGGCCACCCATCGCTCATTGCACACTTACTATAAGCCAGATATGGCACAAACAGATTACACTTGCATTTTCTCACCTGTTACCCGGAATCCAGCAAGGTAGATACTATTAATACTCCCCCCCTCGCCCCCAACACACACACACACACACACACACACACACACACACACACACTTTACAGAGAAGGACACAGGAAAACTCAGCAACTTGTCAAAGGTCACACAACTAGTAAGTCACTACATTAAAGCTCTACCCTGAGGCTCTGGCTCCAAAGCCCATGCTTCCAGGCAGGAGCCTGATTCCATTGCTTCTCTGTAAAGGCACAGCAATGAGACCGTGAGGAAGCCCGAGTTCATAGTTGTTCAGGGTTCTTCCTCTGAGGGGCCAAGTCTGGATAGAACTCACAATCAGCCCTCAGTGGGGGACTCCAGGATCTGAAGTTGGCCCAAGGGTGGAGGCCATGTGGTCTTCCAAGGGACTTGAAAGGACTTGTTGCAGATTTTCCTTCTGAACCTCTCCTCCCTCACCCCATCTAAGTCTTGATGGTTCTTATTTTGATTTCACAGCTGAAGCAATAAATGTTGGGGTCAAGAGGGAAAGTTTTAGAACATAGCTGATTCCAAATGTTGGCTCTTCCCCTTACCAGCTGTGTGACCCCAGGCAAATGATTTAACTTCTCTGTGCTTCAAGAACCCCATCTTCAAGATGGAGCAATAAGAGAATGAATCCTCCCAGGCCAGTGAAGTAAGACTAAGTATGCCATACCCAAGCCCCAGCTGTGTGCAATTGTAGGCTGCAGACTTGAATCTTCGTGACTCTGTGGTTCCATTTGCTCCACGTGAATGGTAGTGGTGTGAACTTACAGCATTGTGGCAAAGAGGGAAGGAGACAGCACAAGGCCGAGCACTCAGTAATGCCAATGTGCATGCGGGGAATGAGACAAGGCCCAGAAAGAGGCACTCCCCAGCAGCAGTGGTCTGTCGGTCCTGCCAGCACAGATCCCAATGAGGCTGCTGAGCTACCCCAGGCTGGACCTCATACGACAACCTTGAATGCTGTGGTAAGATCCGGTGTCAGGAAGCCAGACGGGTCAGAGGTGGCGTCCCAGAAACTTCTCCTCTGCAGGAGCCAGCATGACACAGATGGAAGAAAGCTACCTCTGGCTCAGAGCTGGAGAGCTGGGGCTGGAGGTCAGGGCCTTTGCTGAGCCCACCAGCCCTCCGCAGTCCCTGCTGGCCATCAAGCCTGTGACCACAGGCAGGGAACTGGGGAGGGTGCCGGAGGAGGGTGGGGTCTGCGGGAATGCTCTAGGAGGTTCTAGACAGCCCCCTCCATCTGTGCCCCAGCCCCCCTGGTTCCCACTCCACCTTGCAGGGTTGTTTTGTGGCTCCTATAGGCTAAGATAAAATAAGAGCCACAAGAAGGCAGAAAGACTGAATGCAGATGGGCAGGTCCAGTCCCAACCTGTGGCATAGGGACCAAGATGATGGGAGGGAAGGAACTCAGCATGGGCCTGAGCAGCAAAGCCAGCAGCCAGATGTCAGGTCAGGAATCTTTCCCAGAGGCAGAGGCAGAGGAGCACATCTGGGGGGTCTTCTGCAGGCAGGGATGGGGAGGTGAGCCCTTCTCGCTTCCCTACCTCTCTCTATTGTCAGACCTCTAGTCTAAAGGTCAGGTGTCAGGGGACTTGGATGGGCAGGAATCTGACACCCTCTAAGAACAGGGGCAGTGTCTGACTCTGAGCGTCCAGCATACCAGCCCTCACTTAGCGGGCGCTAAGCAGGTCTTTATGAGGACAGCAGTCCTCCCCATAGGTACGCATGAAGTCATCTCAGGCAGGAAGACCCTATCTCAAAAAGAACCAGGTGGTTGGGTGCCAGTGGCTCATGCCTGGTAATCCTAGCTATTCAGGAGGCTGAGATCTGAGGATTGCAGTTCAATGCTAGCCCAGGCAAGAAAGTCTATGAGACTCTTATCTCCAATTAACCACCAGAAAACCAGACATGGTGTTGTGGTTCAAAGTGGTAGAGAACTAGACTTCAGCAAAAAAAGCTCAGGACAGCCCCTAAGCCCTGAGTTCAAGCCCCACAACTGATGGGGGGAAAAAAAGAACCAGAGCAAAGAAAAATAGGAGCTAGAGATATGCCTCAATGGCAAAGTATTTGCCTAGCAAGCGTAGATCCCTGAGTTCAAACCCCAGTACCTACTCTCAAAAACAAAAACAAACCCCACAAAACAAAAAAACTCCATCCTCAAAGTGTAATGACCATTCATTTATTCACCTTTAGGTAGCCACAGACCAGCACAGTGACTGACACACAGTAAGCATTCTTAGTGTGTGTTGAGTGAATGAATGAGCAAGGAAACATACAGAAGGAAGGCACCCGCACCCCTGAATGTTAACCACCCACGATTCATCACAGTGCCCATCCTGTGTTCCTCAGTGCCACCAGGCATGGAACCCAACGCCAAGTGAAATCCTGCTTTGAAATCCAGGGATCCTCACTGCAGATTTGTCTGGTGAGAGTTGGCAGGAGATGAGGGGTGTAGGGGGAGACAGCAGTTGGATTCTCCAAAGGGAGTAAGGATTTCCCAGGAGGAGCTATAGAAATGAGGGGGACCTCACTATTAACAGAAACAACCTTCCCTATGGCTCACCGAGTCCCTTCCCCTTCTCACAGCACAGTGTCCACACATATGGGCTTTTCTTCTTGCTGATGCCCCTGATAGGTGGTGAATGGGTTGGGTACCCCAGGGAAGGAGGGTTAGGAGCACATGGTCTGCAGGCAAGTCGGGTGGAGTGGCAGGCAGAGGTCGGGAGCACTACCAGGGACTAAGAGGGTCATGGGAGAATTGCTCAGCCTTTCCCTGCCTCAGTCTATCAGCAAGCTGGGAATATTAGAACCGGCTTCATAAGGGAGAACACAGCTGGGCCTGCCACCTAGGAAGAGCTCTGTGCAGTGACAATGGTGGTCATGATGCCACCTTCCCACCACCACTTTGAGCCACAACTCCACTTCTGGTTTTCTGGTAGTTAATTGGAGGTCAGAGTCTTCTAGACTTTCTTGCCTGGGCTGGCTTCAAACCACAATCCTCAGATCTCAGCCTCCTGAGTATCTAGGATGATAGGTGTGAATCACAGTAGCATTTATATCTTTCAGGCCAGACCCAGCAAACTGCTCTCCTGGGACCCAGTTGATTGACAGCTCATGTCAGCTACCTGTGCAGCTAAGAGTGTAGTCAGGGCAGCCACCTGACCCTGGGCCTGTGTCACCAGGGACTTCCCCATACTTGGAGCCAGTGTCCTGACAGCCCCCGTAGGCTCAGGGCATCTTCCTTCCATATGGCTGAACCATCCAAAATTTGCCACAGATTGAACTTGATCACCAGCCTACTTCTCATACCAAGGACACATCTCCAGGAGGCCTGAAGTTCCCAGCCGCCAGCAGGCAATGCTCAGGGGATATTTTCAGGTTCTGGGTGACATTCTCCCGCCTCTCAGCCTCAGAGGTCCCAGGTGTTCCCCCTGGACACTCCACATGGCCACTGGCTTGTTCCTGAGCCCTGCGTGCAGGCTCCCCACACCAGCCTGTTACTGCAGTGCTTCGCTTTGTTGTTTTGGTTTTAATTCAGAACATTTTGTTCCCCCTTGATGCAATGGCTCGACCAAGGCCAGCATGATCTGGGCTATTTCCTTCTACATGGGGATCAGGACAGAGAAGGGGGCAGAGGAAGGAGGAGAAGGAAGCCAGCAGGTTTGAGAACAGGAGGGACAATGGGAAAGCATGAGGAGTCATAAAGATTGGCTGAACATGAAAGAAACGCGGGAGCAGACGCAGCCAGGTCACCATGGGCTGGGCAGTTGCACAGCACGGCTGAGGATCCCAGGGGCCATGGCTCACATGCTGTAGGAATGTCTTCTGGTTCTGATCTTCAGCTATTTTGTTTCTCTGCCTTTCCCTCTGCTCCCCATTGGACCCCCCTGAATTTTTCATTCTTGGCCATTGCAGTAATAAGATGAGGCTGCTGCTAAGGTCCGCAGGCTATCAGAGGGAGAGTAGGCACAGGGAAGAGAGGTGATGAGGAGGAAGGACTGGGGCTGGAGGCCCAGAGATGGGCATTAGGAGAGCAGCAGTAGGCTACAGACCCAGGAGGGCAGGATGCTTAACTCACAGCCTAGCAGAAGGCATGGCAGCCCATAGACATCAGTGAGAAGCTCCCCCTACCCTGCACCCCACCTGCCCCCTCTGCTCCTTTTGCATTGTGAGTGTGGGAAGCTGACAGAGCAGCCCCAACCATCCTGAGCATTCTGGGTTCTATAGTCGTGATCTCTGTCTGTGTGCTTTGGTATCCTCTGCTCTGTGCCATGTAAAGCAAACTGGAACATGAGTTCAGACATGGAATAAAGAGCCGATCTTTGGGGAGCAGGAAGCTTGAGGCCTGGAGATCCCTTCTATCAGGTCTCTTGCAAGACTGAACTTGGGGTTTCTCATCCAATAATGGAAATAATGAAAATGAGATCAAGAGGCAAGAGTTTACCCCAGTGAAAAGAGAGCCAGAAAAACACAAACTTTTAGAAGAAGAAACTGAAGAAGTCATGGATGCTACATCTAAGGTGGCCTCCCTACCCCCACCCTTGTTCCCTCTGCTGGCAGCAGTGACACTGACCAGGGCACTCTTTCTCTCTTTCAGGACCTCCTGTAAGTACGCTGTGGCCAGCCGGCTCATGTCTGAAAGCCTAAGTCATCTACTGGTAACAGGGTCCTGGGTGGGACGCTGACAGCCAACTTTGGCCGTCTTTCAGGGGAGGCCTGTGCAGACTGCTTCCGGGTTCCTTCCGGAAGTTCACATGGAAAAGGAGGTCCCCCTTGCACTTTACATACAGCTCTTCGCACACAAGACAATGGCTGCTGCAGAGCAAAGCAGGCCACCATTTCATTCTGAAAAATAGGTGTCCCCTCATTGGACCGACTCCTTTGCACTCTCCCCTCCACCCCTCCAAGAAGCAACTACAATCAAAGAAGCAGCAGGCATGAGAAAGGAGATCACCCCTGCTCAGTTCTGCCCCTGTTGAAAGTCTCCACCCTGTCCAGAAAATCAGGTCAGGGCGTGGCTCTGAGTGTGTGTGCTGTCCACACTCCTGCATGGGCAGCTCTATTCTGGCCAGGTCTCCTGGGGCAGGTGGAGCCTGTGGTGGTAGAAGCAGGCATACCACCCACTCTTCTTCCCCAGCCTCACTCCCTGGGTGGGTGGGAAGCTGAGCCATCTCCAAAGAACCTGAGAAGAGCCCAAGGATCTGTCTCCCCAACATAATGGATCCAGAGAATCATAGCATGTGCTTTTAGAGGGAGAGCACTTGATATCCCAACAAAAGACCCAGTGGGCTCTGGGGGAGTTGGGGACTGGAGATAAAAGGGCTGAGTCTCACATCAGATCTTTCTTAAGGTTACTGAAATCCACCCCCATCCATTCCTCACTCAGACAAGTCATTTCCATAATTGACTTCCTCCTCCTCCTATACCTAGAGAGAGCAGCCTGCCTGTTTTGTTGTTTTTTTAAATGAGACTATTATTGAATATTTCAGAAAACACCCTCACACGCACAGAGGGTCTCAGATTGAGATCCCTGGCTGGTAGGACACACCAAGAAAAGAAACACCTATCATTCCCAGAAGTGGGGAAGGTGAATTATTGTCGTTTATTTGGGAAGTCAGGTTGTAATTCTTGTCATCCATCTTCCAACATAAAATGGCCATAGGGAATGCTGACCAACCACTTGGGAATTTGTGTCTCCCCCCCCCTCCTCTCCCTCTTCCACCTCCTCCTCCTCCACTTCCTCCTCCTCCTCCCCCTCCTTTTCCTTCTCTTCTTTCTCCTTCTCCTTCTCTTACTTCTCTTTCTTCTTCTTAAGACTAAAGAGTCTGTACCTCCTCCCCATGCTGGGGCTTCTCCACAGTGATTTCTCTAGCTGCTGAGATCATTGGCCCAGGGTTCTTTCTAGAACAGAAATTTAGCATCCTGAGAGATTGTGGCAGCATGACCTGGACAGTGTGGGTAGCTGGAGTGGACAACGCCACTCCTGGGGTCTGCAGCGGTGAATAATCAGTGAGGAGGCAGATAGGAGTGCTCATGGTGTCTGCCTGGCCACCAGCTGAACCATGGAGTGAGACTCAGGGCCCAGGGAGCTTTCCCCACCAGTCGAGACCCAGAATCTTTTTTTGGGGGGGTCCGGTCATGGGGCCTGAACTCTGGGCCTTGGCGCTGTCCCTCAGCTCTTCAGCTCAAGGCTAGCGCTCTACCACTTGAGCCACAGCGCCACTTCCAGCTTTTTTCTTTTTGCTTATGTGGTGCTGAGGAATCGAACCCAGGGCCTTGAGCATGCAAGGCAAGCTCTCTACCACTGAGCCACCTTCCCAGCCTCGAGACCCAGAATCTTTGCCTAGTTCTAGCTGAAACCACAAGGCAAGAGGAGAAGGAGTCAGAAAGTCAGCCAGGCTGGATCACCTCCTCAGCCCTGTTTTCTCCAGCTCTTTAGAAAGGAGGATGCTGGAGGCCAGAGGTGAGGGTTAGCAGATACCTGCCCTCCAGGTATCTACCAGAGACTGGCTCTGTCCTCCAACTTTAAGTCCCTATTGGAACCATTGAAGTTACAGCACCATTGCTCTGCCCCTCGTGCTCAACCCTAATCAATGTAACATAATCACATAGCCAGTCTCATACTTGCTAGGCAGGCACTCTACCACTTGAACCCATGCCTCCAGCCCCTTTTCACTTTGTTTTATTTTCAAAGTAGGTCTTGCTTTATACTAGGCTGGCCTGGACTGTGAACCTCCTATTTGAGTGTCCCCATGTAGCTGAGATGATGAATACATGCTCCTTTCTGCAGCCATTGGTTGAGATGGAATCTCTCGAACTTCTTTTTGCCCAGGCTGGCCTCAAACCACAATCCCCTAATCTCTATCTTCCAAGTAACTAGAGAAAATGACTTGGAAGTTATGGAGTTTTCTTTTTTAAATTTTTTAAAAACTTTTTTTTCCGGTCGTGGGGCTTGAACTCTGGGCCTGGGTGCTGTCCCTCCGCTCTTCAGCTCAAAGCTAGCACTCTACCACTTGAGCTACAGCGCCACTTCTGGTTTTCTGAGTGATTTATTGGAGATAAGAGTCTCTCGGACTTTCGTGCCTGGGCTGGCTTTGAACCGCGATCCTCAGATCTCAGCCTCCTGAGTAGCTAGGATTACAGGCATGAGCCACCAGTGCCCAGCAAGAAGCTTTCTAAATACTGGAAACTAAGAGGCTAAAACAGGGAAACTACAAGGAAAGACCCAAAGTCTGACCTTAAGCACATTGATCCTTGCTGAAATGCAAGCAGACACTCACTGTATGGCATTGGTGACCAACATGGACTTTGGCCAGACCTCCTGTGCCCAATCCCTACTGTGGACTTGGAAAATTATTGTTGTTGTTGTTGTTGTTGTTTTGTTATTGGTGGTAGTGGTGGTCATGGGCCTTGAACTCAGGGCCTGGGCACTATCTCTGAGCTTTTCTGCTCAAGGTTAGCACTCTACCACTTTAAACCACAGTTCTACTCCCAGTTTTCTGGTGGTTAAGTAGAAGTAAGAGTCTCATGGACTTTCCTGCCCAAGCTGGCTGCAAACTGAGATCCTCAGATCTCAGCCTCCTGAGTAGCCAGGATTACAGGAGTGAGCCACTGATGCCCAGCTTCAGCAAATTATTTATTCTTTCTGTGTCTCAGTAAAATGGAAATGGTAGTCATGTCTGCCTCATATAGTGTTGGGAAGAACATATATGTAGATCAGTATTCTCTTTCTGAATATATTTTCTGCTTAGAATACATTAACGTGCCTCATCTGAGGAACATATCTGTCCTACATCATCCACAAGATTCTTGGAAGCCTTTAATTTGAAGGAAGCTGGGCTGGAAGTATAGCTCAGTGGTAGAACACCTGCCTAGCAAGCATAAATGGGCCTGAGTTCAATCCACAGCACTGCCAAAAACATTTAAGGAAGAAACTATTACTCTAAGAATTTTTTGTTAATTCGTTTCATTTGTTTCCATCCTCCCTCATTCCACAAAGAGGATTTTAAACTAGATAAGGAACCAAGAGTGGAGAATGGAGAGCAGAGACAGGAAAATTTGGCTTTGAGCTCCATGGTGGTCACAGCAAAGAGGAAAGCAGAGTTTTGCAAGAAACAAACTGCTAGAGTACGTGGAACTCCAGTGCTTAGTGTTTTGTCTACATTATCTCACTTAATCCTAAAAGACAGGCGATGATTGTTCCATCATTTTTCAAGAGGAGGAAACAGAGACTCCAGAAAACCAGAAGAGAGATAGTGCCTTAATATCAGCAAGACTGAGCAAAGACCGTCTGACTCCAGAGCATCTAGGCTGGAGGATGCCATCTCTCTTCCTATGACATCTCCACCTGTCCTGGACCCCAGCACCCCCTACATGCCAGGGCAGGGTCTCAGCTCCTGAGGGTCTCCCTAGGAGTCTCTCCCCTCTTTGCAAGGGGTTCGTGATGCCCCAGGAATCAGCTGTGAGAGCAGCTTCTCAGTCACCTCTTGTGCCAGATCCAACTGAAAGTCAAAATCTAGAGCTAAAAAAGGCATGATGGCCAGGTGCTGGTGGCTCATGCCTGAAATCCTAGCTACCAGGAAGCTAAGATCCGAGGAATACAGTTTGAAGCCAGCCAGGGCAGAAAAGTTTGTGAAATTCTTATCTCCATTTAACCACCAAAAAACGGGAAGTAGAGCAGTGGTAGAGTGTTAGCCTTGAGCAGAAAAGCTCAGGAACAGCACCCCAGGCCCCTGAGTTTAAGCCCCATAAGCACCATGACTTGCTCAGGACTTTTTTTCATTTTCACTCTAGCTGTTTCCTGTGCAAGTTACTATGATATTAAGATTACCAGTGTGTGTGTGTGTGTGTGTGTGTGTGTGTGTGTGTGTGTGTGTGTGTGTGTGTGTGTGTTAGAATGGATTAAACTCAGAGCCATGCCATCAGTCCTTTTGCTTTGGGGGTTTCTTTTCTTTTCTTTTTGCTTTTCAGACAGAGTTGCTTGGTAACTTTGCCTAGACTGACCATCAACCACAGCCTTCCTACTTCCGTCTCCTGACTAGCTGCGATTACATGCATGTAAAACCATGCCCAGCCCTCCTGAACAAGGCATTTTGTTGAATGGTTTTCTTTTATTTTAGTTTCTCCATTTGTTTTGCTTTTGTTCATTTGTTTGTTGTTCTTGCTTTTGAGACAGGGTTTTTCTATGTAGCCTATGTTGGCCTCAAACTCTTGCTCAGCCTCCAAGTGCTGGGATTACAGGTGTGCACCACCACACCTGGGCTGTTGTTTTCTTCTTTGCAGTGGGATTTCAGATGCATTTTGTGGACTCTTTAGTGTATGTGCAGACATGTTCTAGGCAGGAATACTAGGGTTCTGAATCAGGGTTTGAGAAAAATCAGAAAACTATTCATGCAAACATGTTCTATGTGTGCCAGGCTCCAATGTCCCTGTTTCCCCTCCCCTAACCCACCCATGGTCCAATACTGATTAGATACCCACAAATATCCTTCTGCTTGTTTGTGGTCCTCAGGGGATGAGCTGCACACCCCCATGGTCAGGTGCCATCAGCTCAGATGTGGCAGGTCCCTCGGGAACTCCATCAGAGCTGCCAGGCACTTCTGTCCTGCATCATCCAGATGTGATTGAGACAGAAGAACTCAGAGACAGGGTCATGCTGCATTCAGGATCCCTGAGGCATGGATAGATCAAATCATCTCCCTCTTTCCTAGAGCCCCCAGCAAGCTGCTTTTCTGAATGGATGGATGAGTGGATGAATGGATGGGTAATAGAAGGGAAAGGAAGCCTACCTAATGATCAAGTTACCCCTGAATTTTGTTCATTAAGTAACAGACGTTCCTAATCTACAGTGGACCTGCTTGAGTTATTCTTCACCCCCTTTATTTCAGGGTCCCACTGGAAGACCTGGACTCCCAGTAAGTATTTCCCTCTTCTTACAAGATTTTTTGTTTTTCTTTTCTTTCTTTCTTTCTTTTTCTTTTTTTCTTTTTTTGCCTCACACACTGGGTAACTGCTCTACCCCTGGGCTGCCCTACTTACTCAGCTCCTTCTTCTCAATCTCAGGGGTGTAGTGGGCTTTCCTTCAGCTGTTTCTGGCAGGGCCTCTCCCTAGAGTCTCTAAACCTGAAGCTAAGAGCAAAGCCCACCCCCAACCCCTCTGCCCTGGATCACTGGAGAACACCGAGTGTCCCCAATGTTCTCTTGGTGTCCTTCCTGGGCCATCCAGCTCCCAGCACTGGAGCTGACCGACTAATGGTCCATGGTCCTCTTGTTACAGACTAGAAGGACCAATAAACCACTCTCAGATCTTCCTATATCCATCCCAGCAGACACACAAACCATTGTCTCACCCCCTTTCTCCTCTGGCCTCTGCTCAAAGAGTAGACTGAACAAACCAATGTTATCCCCAGTTCCCATGTCTGAATTCTAGCAAGGCTGGGTCAAGTAACCATGGGGACTTTAAGACAAAATGCAGAAGTAATACAGCCACCTCTGATGGAAATCTTTATAGATAGCAAGCACTCAGGCTAATCATTCCTTAGGCTTGGCTTGTTCAACAACTCAATGAAAGGGCCATGACTAAACGTACATTTTAGAGATGGGGAAATCCGAGGCTCATAGAGGTAAAATCTATTGTCTAGCTGTCTGGGCTTCAGTGATGGTGTTTCTGCTGATTCTCACGAGATCACACACCAAGCTTTCCACACTGGGGCTTTTCGTAGTTCATACTTGACATCTGAGAGCCATCTAGAAGTTCTTCTAGGAAGTGGTTCTGTGCTGCGCAGCCCAGAAGGAGATGGATGCTGGGTATGAGTTCTGTAGGCCTTTGAATAGGCAAGAAGTTATAGCCAATGGGAGAGCCAAGATGGGGTGTACAGGGGTTCCTGGGGAAGCACCTGTCTCACCTGTGTCTTTGCTCCAGAATTTCACCCATGGGATTCCAGAGCCTTCTGTATATCCCTTTTCCCCACTTCCTCCCCTTTTAGATATGAATGGAGCCTTTTGACTACTCCAGCAGCATCTAGAGTTCATTACAGCGGTGATTTCCTTAATGAAAGGCATGTGGGGCAATTTTCAGCCTTAAAGTGGAAACTCTCAGTAAGAGCGAGCCCCGGAGCCCAGGAGGATGGGTGGACCAGGCCTGTGAAACCCAAGGAGGGGAAAATCAGATGACTGAGGGAAACGTGGGCAGGGCAGACTTTTTTTTTCTTACAACATCCACCTTTAAAAAGCATTTAGGGGGCGATTCACAGAGCAAAGACTGTAACAGTTTCTAGTCTCTGGCCACTCCATGCTGGTCCTTAACCTGAGCATTTTATGGCCAGGACTGCAAAGAACATTAGTTTTTTTTATTTAAAAAATGAAAAAAAGAATCCAAAACACACATCCTGAAATATCATTCAAAAGCCCGAGAGTGAGTGGACCTTGGACTGTCACAGCCAACAGTCATTGTTGGTCTGGGTTTCTTAGCAGGAAGTGACCACCACAGACCCCACAGGCAAAAGGTGCGATGCACAATATGCTTGTACAACTCACCTGCCCATGGCTGTGCTAGGCAAAATACTACATATATCATTCACCCAACACTTACCAAGTGGCAGGAGCTGGGCACACGCTTTCCAGATATGCCATTGTGTGGAATCCTCCCAGCAAACCTGAGAGAGAAGCTCCCATGTTCCCCTGCAAAGGAGCTGATGCTCAGGAAGTTTATTATTATAACTGTGCCCTCTTTGAGCAAAGGCAGAGTATTTTCACTCAAAGACACCATTGATTTTGACACTGAATATGTCCCGGGAACCATAATTTCAGAGCTGACTGCATTCTCTGATGCACACCCCCCCCACCACCACGTCTTTGGATACCCCTCTGTCTCTCAAGGCATTTTGACTCAGTGAGACCAGCAGAATCACCCCAGAAATACCTACACAGTTCAGTGGAATGTCAGAATGCAGTTCTCTCCTGTCCAGCCGGCAAGACAAACATGATCTGATTTTCAGCACTCCGTTGCTTCCCATTCTTCCAAGCCCCAGGTTTTATGATGTCTGCATGGGTATGATTGCAAAAAAATATTTTCTACCAAAGGATGGTGGAGAGGGTGGGAGGGAGGGAGGAGAGAAACAGAACTTCATAAGCAGATTTCCAGAGTGAGAAGATGTCACCCCTGGCTACAAAACAAAGCATCTCCCTCGGAGCATCTGAATCTCATGATGTGGCTGAGTCCACGTGGTCCAGGATCCTTTCTGCCATGCTGGAGATGGCCATGAGGAGGGAGGCGGGGAGCAGCACTCTATACACCCATAGCCTCTGAAGACAGAGGGGCTGGGGGCGGGGGAGTGGAACATGATTACTGCTCCCAGCTCTGGCAGACAGAACTAGAGAGTTTTACCCAACTCACATGGGAGCTGCCAATCACTTAGCTCTGTGCCTTGAAGTTGAAGGCCATGAAGATTAGGCATGCTCTGGCCATTGCTGGAATAGGTTGTCCCAGCTCAAGTTTAAGGGAGTAAAGTCCTTGGAAATACACAAGGAAACTGAAGCCCAGGCTGGGGCACCTTGGAACTCACTGCAGAATGGCATGCCTGAGTGCAGGAAGTCCTTAGTCTACTGGGACTGCCTGGGAAATCCATCCACTTGACATGTGGGCATCATGCAGGATGTTGTCTCCGCTGCCCCATGCAAAGTGGTCTAGCTGTGCCCTAATCCAGGTGCACAACCAGCCTGTGGGGCACACTGGCCAGCTCCAGTCACATCTGATTGTTTCTACCTCCTTTATCAGGGGAACAAAGGCTCCATTGGAATGCCTGGGCGTGTGGTGAGTTGGCCCATCTAGCCTGCTTGGGGGGGGGGCCATTGCTTGCTTCTCCATGCCAGCTTGCCCTCCAACATGCCAAGGCTTTGCTCACCCCTAGCCCCAAGAAGGGAGGAGAAACAGGGAAAGAGAAGGAAGACATTTTATTCCAGACTCCAGGCCTCAGCCTATGGCTTTATCCACGGCTTCATTTTCTGTGGCGAACCATACTCCAAAAATACTATAATATAGTAGGATATTTTGGGAGAGAGACTGTATTCACATGACTTTAAATATGTATATATGCCAGGCACATGCCTGTAACCCTAACTACTCAGGAAGCTAAGATCTGAGGATCACAATTTGAAGCCAGCCTGGGCAAGACAATCTTGAGACTCTTTATCTCCAGTTAACCACCAAAAAACTAGAGGTGAAGCTGTGACTCAAGTAGCAGACCACTAGCCTTGAGCACAAAAACATATATATATATGTATATGTATATATGTATGTATATTTGATAATTATGTTGTTAGTCTCTTGTTGTGCCTAATTTACATAATGGGTATGTATAGGAAAAATTCACTATATGCATTAAGGCCTGGTACAATCCACAGTTTTTCTGGCATTTTCTGGGAGTAAGCAAGGAAAGCCTAACTCCTCAGACAGCTGCCATAGCAAAGGAGAATTTCCAGAAACATTGCACAAAGCTTGCTGATCACTGTTGTTGGGTGATAGGTGAGGTGTGAGCCTCAGCACCCACAGAACACTACTAGGCCACTCACCCTGGGATTTCTCTCTGCTCCTGCTAGCATGTCCCAGTAGAGCTGGAGTTTGCAGAGAAGCCTTCTATAGATAGAGACACACTCAAAGATGGTGAAGACAGGGCTTGGTCCTAAGAGGGGCTTCCAGATCCTCTCCAAGTATGAAAATGCTTAATGTTTCCTGCTAAAACATGGAGATGGAGAAAGGAAGATGAGCATGGTTGATTGGAAGAGTATTTCCCAGACAGGACAGCTGGCTCCAGGCACGATTCTGGAACCTGGGTATCTCTAGCAGTCTCCAGAGGACCATCACTCCATGTCAGTGATGAGCAATGCCCTCTCCACTAGCACACAGCCAGGTCTAGGATGTGGCTAGGCTTTTCTCCATCTGACTCCCATCAGCATCAACCTCCACCTCCAGCCTGACCCCGAGGCCCAGCCCCCTTCTGTTTCTTTCCCAGCTTTGTCTCTGAATCTCACCTCCTGAGCTGGTGATATCCTTAAGCATGGCTGTGGCATCCTAGTGAAAATGTGCATGCCTGGTGTAATCATGGAGCCCTGGCACCTGAATATCAGCCAACCCTTGCCAGGGCTGACATCATGTGATACTCTAGACTAAGGGCCTCAACCATGTGTGATCTCTGCCTGGCCGTGATGCTGGACTGCCCAGTCCAGAGAGGGAGATTTTCCTGTGCATATACCCAAACTCTGTACAGCCTCCATCACAGCCCACTGAGACCCAACTTCATGGATGAGGATGTTGAACCACAACTGACCCCTGAGGAGGGTGGGGCTGGGGCTGGAACCCAAACAGACTGTCCCACAGTCTTTGCCCCAGTTAGGTAGGCCTCAGGGCCTCTCCAAGTGCAGCAGCTGGCCCACATGAAGGCCATGAAGTACCTCCTGCCTCCTCCTTGCTGCCCTCTCCCTCACAGCCTTGAGTTGTCCCCAGGAAGCTTCCATCTACATTTACTATGACTTGGCAGTAAGGAGAGATAAGGGAGCCATAAGAGGTTCCCGTTTCCTTCTGGGCAAAAAGTCACTTTCCAGCTACTGCAGGGGGCTCATATAGTTCAGACCATTTTAAATGTGACAGTGGGTCTATTTGGCTCCCCACAAGGAGTCCTGGCTTGAGCTACCTGATAAGGACCTGAATGACCAGAGGGCGTGAAATTCCTATGTCATTCCTATGTTTCACCAGAGGTGGCGCCACTCGCCTGTTGGGAGCAGGGTGAATTGGGGCTATTCTTCCACTGGTCACTATGGTGACAAGAGATCCTTAGCCAGCTACTCAGCTTCTTTGCATCCTGACCCATCCTCCTTGCAGATATGGTTGTCCCTCCTCCTGTGTACTCGTGTCCCTCTGTCCCTGCCTCTACCTGGCCTGGCCAGCCCTCACACTTCACAGCTGGACCCTCAAAGCTCCTGCAGCTGTGCCTTCCACCCAGCACAGGCCTTGGGAAACTCCCAGACCCACAAGCCCTCCCATCTCCTTTCTCTCAACTCTTCCTCCAGTCTCTCTCTCTCTGTCTTCTCTCTCTCTCTCTGTCTTCTCTCTCTCTCCCTCTCCCTCTCTCTCTCTCTCTCTCACACACACACACACATACACACACTCACTCACAAAATTCCCAGATCCATAGGCCCTCCCATCTTCCTCTCAACTCCCCACTAATCACTCTTTCACACACACACACACACATGCACGCACGCACATGCACACACATGCAGGGCCTCCTGCACCCCAGCCACTGTTCCTCTGTCAGTTATCTGAACAGCAGGCTTGGCTGGAGGTAGGGGTATCACAATAAGCTTTGCATGCTCTACTTGCTGGACATGGGGTCTGTCATGTGTCCGCATCTGTGTTCCATTGTGTTTCTCATTTCACGGTGATTTCTTTTGTTTGGTTGCTGTGCCATTAACACAGATTCTTGTGTTGTGCCTCTCTCTCATCCTGTCTTCTCTCCCCCTCCCCTCTCTCTCTCTCTCTCTTTCTCTCTCTCTCTCTCTCTCTCTCTCTCTCTCTCTCTCTCTCTCTCTTACATACACCCTGTGTCACTTCTGGCTGCTGCTCAGGGAGTCAAGGGTCAACCAGGCGAGAAGGTGAGTTCACATCCCCCCACCCTCCACCCCCTGTGCATCTAGAGACTCAAGGAGAAGGAAAGTTCCCCCCACCCCAGCCCCCCCACCCCTTACCATGCAAGCCAGGCACCAGGCAGCCTCCTGTGCCCAAGCCCACGTCTGGCAGCTGGATTCCTAACAGTTTCCACGCCACAGAAATCGGGATTGGTATCCATGTACTCAGCTGTCCTGGCTGAGTGGATTGTTCATGCCTGCCTTAACCACATGTGCCTGATGGCTCGGATCCTGGCTGTGGGCACTCACCCTTTCCTGAAGCCAGGAGACTAGAAATGCTCTGGGTGCTTAGCATCAGAGAGGAGCTCCCCAGGGAAGGCGGCCAGGAGGCCACCCTGAAGCCTCAGCCCAGGTGGGTTCTGGGAGATATCAGAGCACAACCTCTCTAACCAGCTCATCTGACAGAGGAGGAAATTGGAGCCCAGAGAGGGGCTGGCCTTGCCAAGGTCCCAGAGCCATAATAATGAGCAGGGACCAGAAGCCAGACCTGCTGGCGCCTAGCTGTGTCTTCCCTGCCTGCATGTGGCGTGTCAGCTGCCGTGTCTCCAAAATAACAATGTGGCCATGATCATCCGAGCAGCTACCATGTTTCAAGCAGTGTTAAGTATTGTTTCTTATCTCAATGAATACTGACATCACCCTCCTAGGGACACTTAAATACTTCCATGTACCTGAGACACAGAGAGACCAAGACACATAGTCAACTCCACACAGCTGGAGAAGAGCCTGGTAAATCTGACTTCAGTGCTGAGGTCACCGACTCCCTTTCTGTGCTGTCCTCCACATAAAATGAGTCTGTGGATTCACTCTAGCAGGGGCCAAAACTTCCCAGGAGAAAGACACATGACTCTTCTACATGTCCCAGACACTGTTTTCAGTACCTTACAACAGTATCTCATGAAACATTTGCATGCACCTGATGGGTGCTATTGTCCCTGACACAGATAAAAGACCTAGGACCAGGAGAGTTGAGCTGCTTGGCCAATGCCACACAGCTAGTAAGGAGCAGGGCAGAACTTCAGACATGATCATTCTGGCTTAACCACTATGCATGCTGTGCTGTCTCATGTGAAAAATCACTGGGTTATTGCAGTGGCATAAACAGTGACTAATTTGAAATCACTCCTGCCTCTGTGGGAGGGAAGATATTTTACAGAATGCATTTCTGTCCATTCTGTCCTTTGAGGACTGCAGAGCACTTAGCACCCTGGCACATAAGGTGGAGGTATGGGGCTCTGAGAACTGCCATGACTTGAATTCAGGGCCCTGGGCCTTTTCACTCCCCTGCCCACTCCATCTGAGAGAGGGAATCCTCATAGGATGGGACAGACCGCCCTCCTCCCAGCAGTCAGTAGTAGAACTGCTCTTCTCGTTTCCATGTCTCATGCATTCTTCCTCCTCCTCTGTCACCTCCCTTTCACACACACACACACACACACACACACACACACACAGAGCTTTAATGGCACTTGGAGCTCCTAGCCTGGCAGTGCCTGCCACCCTCTTGGGGTTGACCATTGAGCACCAACCCTCACTCCTCAGGGGTATGCTGGATAGACACAAAACTTCCAAAGTACATCTCAGGTCCCAGTTATTTTCACAACCTCACAATCACTCCAGATAGGTTGCTATTCATCGTTATAGAGTGTGTGACCAGATGGGTACTGGGAAGAAACCCAGGGGGCGGGGCGGGGGCTTTGAGACCTGGGTGAGGTCTGAGGTGTTGGGGAGCTATTGTGGAGCGTCCCCTCCACGGGACTCCTCTTGCCCATCACTTGGATGAATCCTGTCTCTCTATTTCTTCTGTTTCTGCATCTCACAGGCTTGCTTGCATCCCTCTTCTCTTCATTCCTTTCTCCGGCTTTCCCATAAGCCCTTCATTTACTGCCTTTCCCTCACCCACCGCCCCTCCAGCCTCCCTCTGGTCCCACCTCTGTTCCCCGCCAGCTCATCTCTTCCATTTCCTTTTCCCCCACCCTCCCCCTACCTCTGCCCCACATGCCCTCTGCTCCCTCTCTCTTCCCGCAGGGTGCCCCTGGTGATGCCGGCATGTCCATCATTGGTCCCCGAGGCCCCCCTGTAAGTCATTATCTTTTTGGGGTGCGGGGGGGAATGGGAGTTGATGAGAAGGGCCCGGTGGGGAGGGGAGATGAGGGGTGAGCCACTTGGCTGTGATTCTGGGTATGGTAGAAGCTTGTATGTGGTCAGCCCTGCCTCCCTGTGGCCCCATCCCTGTCCCCAGGGCTGCTGTTGACATTCAAGAAAGAGGCTGACTAAATATACCTAAATTACAGCCTGGGGGAGGGTGCTGGGCCTAGCCTCTAGCCACAGTCTTGAGCAGCTGGGAGGCGAGCGGAGTGGGTGACAGTGATGCTGTTTAGGGAAAGGGTGTTCCGGCCCTCTCTTCCTGATGGGGGCGGGGGGGGGGCCTCCAGCTTTCCCGGGAACAAACCTTGGTTTCTGGAAACCAGGGAGCAAATGGCCAAGTCCAGGTTCACTAACCCCAACACTCACTCTGGGTCTTGACAGAACTCCTCAAGGTCTCCTTTCTGTGTCAGTGCTGGGTCCCACAGTGACAGAGCTTGGAAAGTCAGAGCGTCTCCCTTAAGGCTTGGATGGGGATGTGGGAGCCAGAGGGACCCTGCAGCTGCAGGAAGAAGCATGGGTGGCTTTCCCCAGGCTGGCCACCCGCACAGCTTCCATCCAATCACCCAAGGTCATAGTCTTGCGCAGGCTTCTCAGAAAAGGAAACTGAGACGTGAGATGGAGAAGGGCTTGGCCTAGGACCCCATGGAGAGGCTGGGGCAACAGTCTGTGTGCTCCATATCCTCCTGCACCTTCCCTGATCTGCCAGGGACGGAGGCAGGGGAAGCCAAGGCTAGCCCAGCGCATGGATGAAAGTCAACCTGTCCATTATCCTACCTTCTGCAGAGCTCTCCTGAAGGAAATAGGGGTCTCTCCACCACCCTAGGGAGAAGGGTCAGAGGTCAAGTTGCTAAGATATGTCCAAAGGACAGGCCAGGCTGAGGAGTGAGCTAGGACGTGGGGCAGTTGGGGATGCTCAAAAGATGAGAGGAAGAACAGGAAGATGAGAGGAGGAGAGACTTACTGGGAGCCAGGGAAGGCCAGAGGTCAGGGGCCTGGCCCAGGCAGCATCTGAACAGTCCTGGGGTGCAGGCCCTTGGCATTGTCAGCACATTTTCCTCTTGGACTTGGACCACAATGACTCCTAGGACTGGTACTTACACCTTGACTCTGAGTCTCACACACACACACACACACTAATTCCCTTAACACACACACACACACACACACACACACACACACACACACACGCACAGAGGAATAGATACTGGGTTTTTTGTTTTTTTGTTTGCTGTTTTGGTGCCAGTCCTGGGATTTGAACTCAAGACCCAGGCATTGTTCCTGAGCTGTTTTGCTTAAGGCTAGAGCTCAGCTCTTGAGCCATAGATCCACTTCCAGATGTGTGTGTGTGTGTGTGTGTGTGTGTGTGTATGTGTGTGTGTGTGTGATTAATTGGAGATAAGAGTCTCATGGACTTCCCTGCCCTAGGTGGCTTCAATACCCTGATCCTCAAATCTCAGCCTCCTGAGTAACTAGGATTACAGGCGTGAGCCAGCAGCACCTGGCTGATAGACAGTTTTTACTTCCATGTTACTGATAAGAAAACCAAGGTGCAGAGAGGTTGAGTGACTTGCCGAAGTCACACAGTTCCACTGTGGCCACCTTGAAAGTGATTACCAGCCAGGCCATCTGGCTCCAGAATCTCTCTGAATCTGCTGCTGTCATGGCTTAACCCAACTGCCATGTCCTTGTCACATGTGCTCCTGGACTCAAATGCTGCTGCCTAGATAGGTTTCACTCTTCTCTGTCCTGGGGGAGCCATGATCGGGAGGCCCTGAGCCCACAAGTTCCTGAACAAGGTGGTGATAGGAAGGTGCATTCATGTCTCAGGCCTCCGTCTCCTTCACATTAATGGGAAGAGGCTCTGTTCATCTCACAAGGAGAAACTGTGAGTCTCACAGAAGCCCACAGTCACCCAGCTCCTAAGTGCTGAGCTCAGTTTTGGCCAGGTCAACCCTCTTCCTAAGCCTACATTTTTTACCCAACACTCCTCCCGCGCTCAAAGCTCGATTGCTAACAAAGGATCTTCACCTTGAGAAGAAGGCAATGACCTCACTGGGCGCCTGTCTTGGGGCTAGGAAAAGATGTGTGATGCCAGATTATTGACTAGGCTATGGCCTTCCGGTGCCAGCCTGCGTGTGTGTCCATCAACCAGATGGCTTGGCCACCCTAGCTGAGCCCTCAGCCCACCCCTCAACTCCTCCTGCTGCCCTGGGCTGGCAGGAGTAGAGGACAGGGAGGCAGAGGGTCTGCTTGTCATTAGGAACAGAGGCGAAGTGGGCAAGCTCAAGGGGGCAGCCAGGGATGATGGGAATATGTGGCTTCCTGTTCCGCCAGGAGGGGTCCCAGATAAATACTGCTGATCAAAACCAGCCTTGCTGCCCTCTGGGGCCATGTATCCATGCTCTTAGAAGCTGATAAATGGTCCACATGAAGGGAGTCATCAGGTACTTTGGAGAGGACACTGCAGTAACACAAGAAGCAGGAGGGCAGTGTTGAGCATGCCAGCTGCTCAGGGAGTCCCATACACTGAGGTGGTGGCTGGAGCCCCCACATCTGGGCAGGTCCTCCTCTAGGATAAGCAATGTGCTCATCTCAGAGGGGCTGTTCTCCTCCCAAGCTCCCCAACTACTCAAAGGCCACAGAATGATATGAGAGTTCTGCCCTCATCCATAAGGAACTGCTCCATGCCAGGTCAATGCACCTGCTGAGCACTTCTGTTAGGGACCTAGAGCCTGCTGGGTAGAGAATGGAAACCTGAACGCAGCCTGCTTGGTCCTCCAGGCCCACACCTAGTGGAGAGAGACATTAAACTGCTAAGAACCACCAGGGACTAGGCTGGGGTCAGGCAGGGATGGCTTCTTGGTGCAAGAAATACTGAACTGCACTGGAGGACTTACAGAGGTCACCCAGGGAACGAAGCCTGGGAAGGGTTCCAGAATAGGGAAAACCCTTTTTAGGAAAAGTGGGGCTGAAGCTGATGAGATCAGCAAGGGCCTGACTTGACACAATGTCCAGGTCTGGGCTTTATCGCAGGGAAAGTGGGAAGCCCTTGGGTTGTGTGACATTGATGTGTGGCCTACTCCTCCTTCTCCAGCGCAAGGCCCATTTAGCGGTAAAGAAATTAATAGGAGGGGAATCAGAGCCAGTGACCTGGGGGGAGCGCTGGACAATTTGAAAGTGGAGGTGACGGAATTTAGTGATGGCAAACTGGAGGTAAAGTAGGGCAAGGGGGTGGGCAGCAGGAGCTCAGGATGCCCCATGCTTCCAACTTGAGTAGCAAAGTGCAGGAGGAAAACCAACTGCCAACTGCCAGGAGTGGGGAGGCACGTTAGAGTTCGGGATGTCTCCAGACATTCAAGGGGAACTACCCATCAATGTGTTGCACCCAAGCCCGTGGGGCAGCAACCTGGACCTTCCCACTGCGTTCCGTGACTCCTTACTAACAGCTTACAGTCAGCCGTGATAGAATTGACACCACGGGCACCGGCAAAGGCCATGCAAAGGCTCACTCCTCTCCCACCCAGCCAGGTGTTCAGTTCACTGCTTACCAGACAGTCATGGCCATGTTGTCAGTACTTAATGAAGCAGGGCCTGGGCAGATACATGGCAGCCCCTCTTTGGAACTTTCAAGTGAAAAGCAAGGAGACTTCCTAACTTTCTCTCTACGGCACCACACCTGGTCCAAACTGCAGATAGGGGGAAGAGGGAGCAGTAACATAGGGATCCATTTTCAAAAAGTAAGAGTTCCCTTTCTACCCTGTCCTTGAGTGAAGGGATGGAAGAGAAGATGGCAGAGATCAATGTGTAGCTTGCTTCCTTCATTCTGGCACAGGACATTGTGCTAATCCATGAAGCAATTCTTCAGGTGAATCTAGCATCTATCAATGGAATGTTCTTTTAATCCCAGTGAATTTTTATGAGGTTTTGGAATCCAGTAAAATATTGAATTTCTTTCTGGAACAACAACAACAAAAAGCTTGTAGACTGTCAGGAAAAGTCTGAAAACAAGAGAAAGGGGGATAGGAAGGAGGGACTAGTTGTTTTACTAGGAGGTACCAAAATGTATTATAAGCACAGAATGTGTGGAACAATGGAAGGGCTACAATGGAGAAGCCATGTGTAGTCAGAGTTTGTACATGGGGAAGGTTTCTTTTCACAGTGTAAAGAGAAAGGCAGAGAGCCAGGAAATGAACTAGAGCAACTAACCAGCCATGGAGAAAAAAAATTTATTATTGTTTTAATAGCTAGAACTCTACTCCATTCGTTGCATTAAGACAATTTCCCAGGGGAGTGGAAAAGATAATTTCCTAGTGAATAACTTGTTTAACTGTAAAACATGAAACCATAAAAAGTAAACATAACATGTGAGTGAATATTTTGTTATTCTATACTTGGGAAGGCCCTTTTGAAGTATGAGATAGGGCCATATATGCTGGTGCTAGTCCCAGCTACAATGGAAGCGTAGGTCCAAGGCTACCTCCAGGAAAAGCACAAGGAGACTTCATCCAAAAAGTGAGCCAGAGACATGGCTCAGCAGTAGAATGCCTATCTAGCAAGCACAAAGTCCTGAGTTCAAAAATCAGGTACCAGAAACAAAGAGAGAGAGAGAGAGGAGGGAGGAAAGATAGGAAGGAGGGAGGAAAGGAAGGAAGGAGGGAAGGAAGGAAAGAAGGAAGGAAGGAACGTAGGAAAGAAGGAAAGAAGACATAAAACCCCAAATCTATAAGTAAACATTAATATATTTATTTGTATAAATGTAAAACTTGGTAAGAAATATACTATAGACAAAGTCAAGGTCAGCTTGAAATCATTCAGAACACATATGACCATACTTATTGCTTTTGGGAAAGAACTTTCAAATCAAAAGGACAAAGAAGCCAGGTGCCAATGGCTCGTTCTTATAATCCTAGCTATTGAGGAGGCTGAGATCTGGAAATCATAGTCTAGAGGTAGCCTGGGCAGGAAAGTCCATCAGACACTTACCTCCAATTAACCAGCAAAAAGCCATAAGTGGAGCTGTGATTCGAGTGGTAGAGTTCCACAGCAAAAAAGGTCAAGGACAGTGCTCAGGCCCTGAGTTCAAGCTCTAGGACCAGCACCAAAAAAAAAAAAAAGGAAAAAGAAAACAACTGGGTAGAAAATATATGTTAGGAAAACTGCTTGAGTCTAGCAGTTGAAGGTCAGCCTGGGCAACACAGTGAGACCTCATTTCAAACATAAATGACTGTGTGTACTCCTAATATATACACCTGTATAATATATATGTACATTCACACATGCATATGTATGTATATGTATAATATGCTACAGTGTATACTAACAGATATTACATATTAGTAGAGAGTGTACACAGGCAGCTGACTGGCCTAGAACAAGGGCTGGCTAATCAGCTTGGACCAGTAGCATTGGAAGAAACATCTAAGCTCAGCATATAATTGAAGAGATGTCGGTTAAGATCTAGTTGAAAGTCTCCCAAGTGCCTTCCCCACGCCCAGTCTCTGCAGAAAGTGGAGTCCCAGTTTCCATGTGGTCAATGACAAAACATCCCTCCCCAGTTCCCTGAAAAAGCCCTGGTTAGCCCTGGGCTTGGCCCTGGGTTGAACAGATGCACCCTGCTTCTAGGATAGGCTCTGTAATTAGCAAACCATGTGATTACCCCTCCCACGTAAACATTAGCCCAAGTGGGTCTTGAAGATGTTTCTTGGCACTCTCCTCTCCTGACCTTTCTCCAAGTTTCTCTGCCTTCAGAGTAGCAAGTTTATACTGCAAGATTTTAGAGATTACATTGCTAGGTTTCTAGGGTTTCTCCTTCAGGCTATTCTCTCTTTTTTTCTTTTTTATTCTTTCATGTATCTTTTTTAACAATTTTTTGTTCATGCACTTTGTATTGTTATTATAAAGATGATGCACAGAAGGGTAACAGTTACATGTCAGATAAAGAGAACTTTGTTGTTGTTGTTGTTGGTTGTGAGGCTTGAATTCTGGGTCTGGGTGCTGTCCCTGAGCTCTTCAGCTCCAGGCCAGCAATCTACCACTTGAGCTACAGCGGCACTTCTGGTTTTCTGGTGGTTAATTGGAGATAAGAGTCTCACAGACTTTCCTTGCCTGGCTGGCTTTGAACCACAGTCCTTGGACCTCAGCCTCGTGAGTAGCTAGGATTACAGGCATGAGCCACCAGTGCCTGGCTTTTTGAACAATGCCCCCCTTCCTTGCTCTCTCCCACTTTCCTCCTCACATCCCTACCCACAGGTGGTATAGTTGATTTTCAGCAGTGTCTAGTGAATACCACCGCTGCATTTGTTCACCTTCTGTCCCTCCATTTCTGTGCCACCCTTACCCTCCTTAAGACAGATAAACAAACAAGACGAAAAGAAAAAGAAAACAACAACAAAGAAAATACCTCTTGTTTCCCTTTCCTGGAGTTCATTTCGATAATTATTTTATATGATCAATTCTTGAGAGGAGAAAACACCCACTACAGCAGACTTCAGCCTGATCTTGCAGTTAGCCAGCCAACATGGCAGGGTCCTTGGGCTGCGGGGGGACCCTGGATGCTCCTATCCATGCCACAGGGAGGCTCCAGACAGCCTGGAGGTATTTAAGATCACAGCAGATCTGACTGGATCTGTTGCTTGACAGGACAAGCATCCATCCCAAAGCCTATGGAGTTCAGAGGTCACCCTTGGTTTATTCTGGTTTATTCTGGTGTCTGTCTTCAGCTCAATTCAACAAATATCCAGTGAAGACAGCTATCATTTGGTAGGCTTTACAAGTACCACTGAAGGTAGTTTAGTAACTCAATGAGGTTTATCTGCTTTCCACAGATGAGGAAACTGAGGCTCAGGGATTAGGCAACTTAGTCCCACAGCCTTGTTGGTGGAGGCAGGGTTAGAACTCAGCCCTCCACACTCAACAGCCCATCCTTAGGAAAGAAACAATGCCCATCTAAGCTGAGAGCAAGTAGATGAGGGAGATAGAGAGAAAGCCCACCTTGGGGTGTCCTGGAGGGTGGCCTTAAATGACACAGAAAGGAACTTTTGCTCCTTTCTTGTTTCCAAGAAAGGAAGAAACATGGCTCACATTTCCTAGTTCTCTGTGACTCTTGACCCCTCTGGTCAGCCTTCTCCTTCTCTGAGAAGGGATGAGAAAGCCCTTCATTTCAATTTATCTTGACCTAAACCACTGGGTTTTGAGCATTGAACCCTTTTCTAGACCTAGTGTGAGTATCTCTCTGCATCCCACTGCACCTCCAGGGAAATGGAACCCCACAGATCCTAGGGAATCCCCTGCTGGGAGAAGCCTGTTGGCCAGGGTGAGGGGCTTGAGCAGGCTGACCTATTCCAACCTGAAAGCTTACATTCAGAGGGACAAGTGTCCTATCAGCTGAGATCCAAACCACCTTAGATCAGTGTCCGTGAGCAAATCCTGCAAATGAATAGGACATGTTGGCTTTTGGTCCAGAACTCCAGTGCATTGCAAGTACTGTGTGCTGAGTCCTTGCTGACCTGGCTATCCATTGGCCTACCATCTATTTACAAACCAAGCTACAGAGCAGCCACAGCGATTAGGGGCCACGTGTGTGAACATGCAGGAGTAAAGAGTGGAGACCCTTGCTCAGCCTCACCATCTGTTGGTGTTCTTTTTCTTTTTATCTTTTTTTTTCCAGGGCCAACCAGGCACTCGAGGCTTCCCTGGGTTTCCGGTAAGTGGGGAGGGCTGAAGTTCTCTGTGACCAGGTGGGCGCTGGACCTGGTTGGTTAAGTTACATCCACTGAGGTCAAACCTGGTGCCACTCTTTTCCTTTTAATCACTAAGGGCTGCCTCACACCTACTGCCAACCTCAGCCCAAGATAGTATCTCAGCACTGGGCCGCTGGGAAAGAAGGGATGGAGGACATACCCAAACAGGGTATGGGATAGGAGCTTGCTGAGCAGCATCACAGGCCAACACAGCCACCATGACACCAAAATGTGGGCAGAAGTTGACCTGGGGACCAAACTGGGCCAGGCTCTGCAGGATACCCACCAGAAAAGTAGCAGTTGGGGGACCATCTGGGTGCCCTATGACCCCAGCCTTCAAGGCAGGGGGTTCCTTGCCCTCACTTGGGGCAGTGACAGTGCCATCTATGGGACTCTGTTCTGCACTGGTCACTTGGCCGGCAGCATTTGTTCCTTCCCCATGAGAACCTTTCAAGGAACGTTCTAGTATTTGTATTTCTATCTTAGAACAGTAACTTGAGGCCTAGGCTCACCCACCATCAACTGACAACTAAGAGGTCAGTCAATGACCCCAGCTCTAATATGGTGGCATCTGACCCTGTGCTGCTAACCCCTGGCCAGGCCTCCTTTGGGTCAGAAGGCCTGCAGTTCCCAGCTTTTCAGCTGCCTTTCTGTTTGCAGGGTCCCATTGGCCTGGATGGCAAACCGGTAAGTAGACTCTCGCAGCTTGCTCCTCCTGCCCCCGCCCCCCTGCCCCCCAGCTCACTAACCCTGGCTCTCTTGGTTCTTGGGCAAGACTCTGACTCTTTGGAAGATGCTTTTGATGGGGGGGGGGAAGGTGTCACTCATAGAGATGGAAGGAGGGATTATTTGAAGGAGCCACCCCAAACTCCAAGACATAAATCCTAAGTGCCCAGGGCCTGGGGCAAAAGCCATCCTTACTTTGGGGATCCAGAGCAGGGGTGAAGCAGGCAGGCAGTGGGGAGGGCAGGGGTAGAGCTCAGCCAGCTGATCTGAGAAAGAGCTCACCCGTCATCATACCCCAGCCCTGGTCTCCAGCACCACCAAGGAGCATCCTGTGTCCCCTGCTTCTCCATTACTGAGGCCCTGCCTGAACTCAGTTCCACATGGAGACTCATTTCCTGTGACCCCTCACCCAGGTCCTCCCTCGGTTCATTTAACTCTGACATAAACTCTCGGGGGGGAGGGGGAGAAGGCCCTACCCCATGGAAGTGGTGACCCTCCAGAATCCCACAAGTCTAAGACATAACGACCCTCCCCCTTCTTCACATTGACCTTTCCCTGGAGAAGCTCTGTCCACCCAGTTGAGACCTGGCCAGCTGCCCTGTAAGCCAGCAAGCTACATGGGGGTCTTGGGGACCCTATCTCATCATCTCAGACTAGACATACCCTTGAAGCCATCATGGGGGGTGTGAATGGGGTGAGGACTAGCCAGGGAGACCACCCCTATCTCAGCTTTCCTGTGATGGGCAGGAAGCTGGTGGTTAGGCCCAGGAAAGGGTAGAAAGAGAATAACCTTCCCTGGTCATCCAGCTGGTTAGGAACAGGATGGACAAGGGAGCAGTAAGAAAGGATGACAGTACGGCAGGGGCAGGGGGCAGGTGGGAGCTTCCGTGTAGCAAACAATGGACCTGAAATTCACCCTCTTCTTCCAGGGCCACCCTGGACCAAAAGGGGAACCGGTAAGACCCCTGCTTTTCTACCTTCCCCAATGGGGGAGGGTCACTACCCAGCAAAGAGACAACAGTCACTACCCAGCCTGGATCCTCAGCTTCTGCAGGGAGGGAGGCAGGCAGGGCTCCTCGAGCTGACACGTGATAGCCAGCTACAGAGGCACAGCTCACTGCTGTCATGCATGATGGCTGGTTGGCTTAGCACTCAGGTCTCACTCTTGGGCCCTGGGACACAAGCAGTCATCAAACTCTCACAAAGGATATGTTCTTTAGGAGATGGCCATCCCTTTGCCCTTAGCCTTACCCTCTTCCTCTGGCCAGCCCTGACATGGCCTTTAGCAATCCAGCCTCCTTAGGGCCTATGCCTGGCCTGTGGAAATCCATTCATAGATCTCTAACATCCACAGAACAGTCATACATCACGTAACCACAGGGATGCATTGGGTGACCTCTGCTGCAGGTCTTTCTAAGACTCCCTTTGACTGATGTAGAAATTGGGGCTCCGAGCATCAAAGTAACTTGTCTGAAGTTCCCCAGCAAGGAAGCATTCCAAATAGGATCCAGATCCACTCTTAAAATTCCTCTCTTCCTTTGCAAATGAGTAAAATAACAGAGACCAAGGCAGTAATGCACTCCCATTATTAGACAGGGAAAAGGGGTTATTAGAAATTTCAGGTCACCCCCTTCCCCACATTCTTCTCCTCCCCGGCAGATGCAGCTTGACCCTACCATAAGTTATCTGTGGCACCCTGGGTGGAATTATGGTCGTCCCCTATGCTCTGCTCCGTAGTCTTCAGAACTGCTTGACGAGAGGGGAAACTGAGGTACAGAGTGGCTAAGCACATAGGTCACATACCAAAGCCGACATCCACTGTGTGTGCCCTTTGTCTTGAAGGCAAGGAACCTTCTTGCAGGAGTGAGGAACATCTTTTCTGCCAAGGCCATTTGGACATCATCATAAAACATCATTCATGGGCCATACAAAATTATCAATGCAGTCGCTGGCAGCCTATGAGAAGCATGCATCTGTCCTGTCATGTACCCTGTCCTGCAAATGCCAGCCTTCATTCATTCCTCTAGCCCCTGTCATGTCCCTGGCCCTCTGTGTAGGAGGCTACATCTGGATGTCAGGTGGTGGTGGACTCCTGTGCCTTGTGAATCTCAGGACACTGCCAGGGCCTCGCTTCTGCCCTCCCAAGCCTCAGGGAAACCATTTGAACAAGACTTGAATTTTGAGGGACATGGGGGTGGGGATGGGGTCATGGCACAGCTGGTCATGCCCATTGAAGGTGAGGCAGCTGAGGCTAGATGGGCAAGTCCATACCACCTTGCATGTGTTGGACACAGAGAGACCTGGCCCATTCTCATCTTCTGGAGTTCAGGACATTTTGAGAAGCCCCTGGAAGCTCAGCACCAGTTCCAGCCCCACTCAGAGCTGCGTCTCTGATCTGCCCATCCTCGGTCCACACACTGACTTGTGTGTTTCTCCCCCAGGGCCTGGCGGGACCCCGAGGACTGCCGGTTGGTACCCACTTTTCATCTTCCCTAACAGTGGGGTGGCAGGGAGTTGGGGTCATCTTGTGTGAGTCTTGATCGCTAACTGTCATTTCTGTCTCTTTGTAGGGCCCTCAAGGACAGAAAGGAGAAAAGGTGAGTATAATGTGTTTCCCAGAATGTGTTTCCATGGCAGACACAGCCTTCCTAAGGACCATGGGGCAGAGCAGCCATTCTCAAACCTGAGTTTTTTTTCCTCAACCGAAACAGGATGTAAGAGACACAGGGAAGCTGCCCTGGGTGACATTCTTTTCCTGAGGCCAACCAGCGTCTTCCTCAACCCCTCCCACCTGCCGTACACTCTGTTCCCTGACCCCTGAGCTTCTAGCATTTTGAGATATCAATTTGTAAACACTGTCCTGGCCTCCAGTATTCACTGTCATGTTGACAATACAAGAAGGCCTGTGGGCTAGAACCCTTGGCTCAGAGCAGATGTCCCTGGGGTCCTGCTGTCCCTATTCAGGCTCTTTTCCAGGGCCATTGGATGCCTGTCCAGAGGAGTAATCCCAACCAGGCCTGGAGTATAACTCCACAATTCTGCCCTGTCACCTCTTGTAGCTACTTCCAGGCAAGCCCTGGGGGTTTCTTCCCCCATAAGCACTGGAGATAAAGGAGAAAATTAGATTTTCTGCCTCTGAGGGCTCAGATCCAGACTAGTGGCAGGGCTGGAGGGTGAGGAGATGAATGGTGTGTCCAGCACTCCTAGAGGTACTCACAGGACAGATTCCCCCAACAAGTGCCTGACACCCCTCTCGTTTCCTCCTCTCCCCAGGGTCAGTGTGGCGAGTATCCTCATCGGGTAAGAGACTCTACAAACTGAGAGGGGCCCTTTGATCACCTGAGGCCCCCACCCCTCAGCCTCATCTCCTAGGGTCTCTGTACCTAACAGAGGCAGGGAACCAGATCCTGCAGTCCCCTGTGCTCAGCAGCTAACTATCAGTACCAGGTGCTGGTGGCTCTGTGTGTGTCTTCTCAGGAGACAGCCTCTCATGGCCTTGTCCCTCTGATGACTGGGTTGACTGTTTGGGATGAATGTGCCTCATACTTTCTGTTGGCTACAGGGCTGGTGTGTGTGTGTGTGTGTGTGTGTGTGTGTGTGTGTGTGTGTATGTATGTGTGTGTGTCCACCTGTCCTGGATAGATATATAAAAGAGATCTTTAGAGTCCATTACTGCTCAAATGACCCCAGCCTCAAGGAAGGGGGGGCAGCTGTACCCATGGGGGGGGGAGTTCTTGTTTAGAGCTAAGGCTACTACAAGCATTTGGGGGCTTCCAGGCCGAGATGATGCCTCCGCCATTCCCACTTCGCCTTTCCTTTCCCTTGCTTCACTCCCCAAATATGGCATCCAGGAGATTTCTGACCACGGGGCTCCTGCTCAGGACAGGGGAAGTGTTCCTGGGTGTACTTTCTCCAACTTTCTCCAGAAAATGCCCTGTATTCCAGCCCTTCTGTACTCAGGACAGGGCAGCAAGCAAAGATAGATATCTTAGCCACCATCTCCTCAGCCATGGCCATTGTGCCTCCAGGAACACATGTGACTTCCCTGGCTTCTTGGGCTGCCGGGCACATCCTGGGAACAGCGATTTAGGGGTAGAACCCGACTTACCTGACAGTCTCTGATCTCTGAGGTCCTAGGCCAAGAGAAGGCCACAGTGGGCCTGGCGTGTGAGAATCAAGGATAGGTTTGCAACCCAGCTGGGCTTGTTCTAGGTTGGGCATACAGACAGAGCTGGACCATGGGGTAGTGAGGGAGTAAGGGCTCTGGTGTTCCTGATCCTGATACAACAATAGAAGGTCAGCTGTAGTTTCTATGGAAAGATGGCTCATAGAATTGTTAGATTACCCTAAAGACAGAGCCTCCAGCAACCCAGGGGCAACATAACCACAGATGTTTTGAAAGGATGTCATCGGGCCCTGCGTGAGGTAAGCTTTGCCACTCAGCCCAACACAAGAACAGGGAAAGGGGCAGTGATAGAAGGTTCTGGAAGTACATTCCTAGCACTGCAGCAGTGTATGAAGTAGATTGAGGACCTAGATGTTGAGCAAGACAGTTTATTTAGAAAAGGATAAGATGGCAGGGGGTTCATCTAGAAGCCTGCGGCTTTCCAAGTCAAGGGGTCTGCAGGCATGGCAGGGATGGCAGGTTCTCAGAGAGCCATGCTGGTTCTTCCTCTTGTCCAGTGGGAGAGAAGGGGGATGGGGAGTGGGTGGGGTAGGGCCCCCTGGTACAGGGGTTTGGTGGCTCTCTTCCTCAGTTGCCCTGTTACTGTGTCTCTGTCACCTTCATCCTCCCTCCCCCAAACCAGGAGTCCCTGAGCGGCACACTAGCAGCTCTGCGCTCCAACCAGATAATTACCCTGAAGGTTCGTAGGTTCTAGAAGGTCTCTGGCCCTCTCTGCCTAGAAGCTTCCTGGATGTGGAGCCTCACATTGCACATCCCCAGGCCTCGGCTCAGGAGGGTGGGGTTCTGTGTAGGGCACCTGCCCACACAGTTAGCAAGGGTGATCTAGAAGGGTGACAATTGTGCCAACTGTACAACAGGGCATATTCACAGCCCAGGGGGCTGCCGGCTCTTAATGCTCCTCCCAGGTACCTCACATGAGCTCAAGTGCCATTGAAAACAAGTTGGTTCTATGCCATCTTCATTTTCCATAGGGACCACTTCCAGCAAAGATCAATTTAGCTTCCTTAGGGAGTGGAAAGCAACACGAATTTCCAGAAATAGAAATCACATTGGATAATGTGATTGTAAATTTTCTGCTCCCTCCAAAAAGTGGTTGCCCATTCTGGAACCATCTTCTCCCTACCCCAGCCTCTATTTTTCACGTGTGCCAGGCCCAGAGTAAGACCTCAGCTGCATTTAGTGGGGGCCACACCCCTGGCCAGCTTGGCCTGGGAGCCAAGCCTTGACCATCATGCTCAGATTCACTGACATCAGCCTTTCTCATCTTACCAAAAAAGAACCCAGTTGGGGACCGCACACCAGCCTGGTTCCAAGTACCAATTTAGCTGGTCCTGTGGCTCCTGAGCCAGAGCCGGGCCAGCAGTGCAATGTGAGGCTGCACGTCAGGATGCCTCCACAGCCCAGCATGGCCACAGAGGCAGACCTGGCCAAGCAGGACCCCTCAGCTCCAAGCTGGAAACAGAGGCAGGCTGCAGACTGAGGGTCCTCCTTCTGAAGGACTGCTGCACCACCCAAGAGCAAGCTCAGCATTGCACCCCACAAGCCACTAGAGGAGTCCTGTCCACTCCTGTCTTCCTGCCCCAGACTCGCTAATCTCTTTTCTCTCCTCTTCCTCTCTTCCCTCTCTTCCCCACCGTCCTGGCTGCTTGACTTTCCTGATGATTTTCCACATACATCGTTCTGAATGCTGCGATCTCTCACCTTTGCCCTCTGGCCTTCGAATCCATCTTCCTCTTCAGCTGCTGCCTCTTCTCAATTCAGTGCGTCTGGCTCCTCCCCCAGTCATTAAAAGGAGGACCTTCCAGGTAGACATCTCGCTTTGCCAGACCATGGGTAGCTAACTGGGGCTGTCTCTGACACCAGAACTCTCTCCTAATAGACTTAAATTAGACAAACAGGGACCACAGACACCATAGACAGGCCCCAGAAGGTCCACACTTCACCACACCATAGCACCCTAACAGCCCCCAGCACCAGCTGACACCATAACTAGTTCTCATGTCCTCTGTTTCACAAGCCTGATTTTCAGTTCATTCTCTCAGTGGTTTTATGAATTAAGCATGATCATCCTTATTTCACAGATGAAAGACTCAAGGCTCAGAGAAGTTAAGGAAGTTGCCCGAGATCACACGGCTCATTCATTACAGAGCAGGGATTTGTAGCCAACTTTTCTTTCTGTTAACAGCTGTGTGGTTTTTAAGCAAATGATTTGACCTCTCTGTCTACACTGTAGGGTGGTTGGAGAGGCAGAGCACTTGGAATCATCCCTGGTACAGTTTAAGTGGTGGCCATCATGACACTACTATCTGTATCTGGAGACAGGGAAATCAAGGCTCAGAGAAGTGATTTGCTCTAAGTCACCCAAAGAGCAAGAGGAAAAAGTGGAACTGGAAGCCAGGACTTAGAACTCTGGTTGTTTCCATAGAATCTACATCCTTTAGGCTTATACACGCAGGCTGCTGCTGGGGATGTAGCTCAGTGGTAGGATCCTTGCCTAACATACATGAGGCCCTGGGTCCAATCCATACACTCCAGAAAGAAAAGAAACAAGTACAGACTGCCTAGGATCCATCCCTTCCAACCTGAGTTTGAGGACCACGGGCAGTTACAGAGAAACATAGTCTACAAACAACACGTGTAATCATCTCAAGCAACTGCTTCCTTCTTCCTGCCTTCCTAACCCCAGGAGGTTGGGATAGAGCAGATTATGAAAAACAAAACAATCTTACCCCTGCTCTCTAAGAGGCCACAGCTGGATCCCAAACCAGGTTGTCCACCTTGCCCCTCACTTCCCTTACACTGTGCAGAGGAGCCCCCGAAGCCCAGGGAGCTGGGAGTGGCCGGGCTCCGAGCTGCTCTCTGACAAACCTGTCTCAGGAGTCAGGAGCCCAGAGGTTTGGATATTCAGCCACCTGATTGAACAAGGCTAAAAATACAGAAAGACACGTGATGCCCCTGCCACCCAAGCCTACAGCTGCATATCTCATTACCCCAGCTAAATCCTCGAGAGCCCCTGTGTGCTCACCCAGCAGCAGAGCTTCCCAGGAGGCTGGTTGGCAGCTCAGAGTAGCAGCAAAGCCACCCTGCTGCCACACACCCCTTCCTGTGCCAGACCCCACGGACGCGAGCTGACGTCACTCCCAGAGCAGCCTGACATGCACAGCCACCTGACACACAGCTGCCACATGGCCCTGGCTGTGTTATCTGTCCACTGAGCCTTCACTGGGTTCCAGCCCTTTGTGTGGACACTATGGTGATTATCTTGTGCGATCCGCCCATCAGCCGCCATGCTAGAGGAAGACATGGAGAGGGAGCTAGTGAGGAAGCCAGGGAGTTTCCATGCTGCCCTGACCTAGTTTCCGAAGCAGAAAGAAAAGAATTTGGCCCCTGGGGAAAATTATTATTTAAAAGCAATCCCAAGATGCACCCCCATGGCTCATGCCTGTAATCCTAGCTACTCAGGAGGCTGAGATCTGAGAACTGAGGCTTGAAGCCAGCTTGGGCAGGAAAGCCCATAAGACTCTTATCTTTGATTAACCCACAAAAAGCCCAAAGTGAGGCTGTGGCTCAAATGATAGAGTGCTAGCCTTGAACACAAAAGCTCAGGGACAGTGTCTAGGTGCTGAGTTCAAGCCCTAGTATTCACATACACACAGAAGTACACGAAGAAAGAAAGAAGAAAGAAGGAAAAAAAGAAAGGAAGGAAGGAAGGAAGGGAAAGAAAGAGAAAGAGAAAGGGAAGAAAGGAAGGGAGAGAGAAAGAAGGAAGAAAAGAGAGAAAAAAAGAAAGGAAAAGAATTTGCTTCCTGTAGAGTGAGGGTTTCATGCTATTGGTCATCATGAGACATAGAAAGTCTTGTCCACTTCCTATCAAAAAACCAATATTGATTTTACAGGCTCTGTGAGATGGTCTAAGAGTACTTGAAAGAGGAAAGTGGATGCAAGACGTGATGTGCTTAGCAGATGGTGTTGGAGGTCATTTACAAAGTGCGCACAGTTGGGCAGCAAGCCCTGCCGAACTCAACAGTGAGCCAAACAAAATTCCGTGGCCTCCGACCTAGGAATCTCATTTGACCCTTGAGACCAGACACTCAAAAACAGCAGAAAAAAAAAAGCTGAGACAGGAAACAAGGAACTGAGAAGCCAGGCCTTAGACAGTATGACTTGCCCAGCTGAGAAGGTGACAGAGGCAGGCCCTACCTCAGACAACTGGGCTGGTCTCTGGCCATCTGCCTGGACTGGAAACAGGCCTGGGGCTGGGGGGGGAGGGGCACACTGACTCTGTCTCTGTCTCCACTGTGGTCCTCTGCCCTGGGCTATGACTGCTCTCTGAAGCAAGTCCTCTCAGGAAGTCCCATTGCTTGGGGAGCTGATGCCTTGGCCCTCTTCTCACTGCCACCAGCCCCTGCATGCGGTCACTCTGCCACAGCAGCAGCACATCATGCCACCATCCACCCACCTTCCCACACAAAGTGCATGGCACTCGGGGGTGGGGGGGAGTGGGCTACAGACTTGGGGGGTTTTCTCTCTAATGCCTGTCTCTACCAACTCAGGGTGAGCAGGGTCAGGCTGGTGTCCAAGGACCACCAGGGCCCCCAGGCCCCCCTGGACCAAGTGGACCTCTGGGGCACCCAGGACTGCCGGGACCCATGGGGCCACCCGTAAGTATCTCTTCCTCTCACTCATGATTTGCCAGAGAATTGTCCAAACCACAGACACACCACAGGGACCTGGGTTCCCATCAAATAAGAGAAATGCCTTGCTAAAACCTTGGGCTTGGAGCAAGGATGGCCTAGACACAAGAGTCATTCGGGTATGGGTCACACCTGTCACCCTGCAGCTCTGTGAGCATGCCTATGGGGCCGTGTCTACCCTGCTCCCAGGGCAGCACTATGAAGTGGTCCCTTAGCCACCACAGAGAGGAGTTTGGAGAGGAAATCTCCAGGGATCTGTGCCAGCTTTCCCTGATACCCCGAGCTTAGTCAAGCCCAAGTCAGAGGAGGGGTTCAGAAAAAGCACAAGGGGCACACACCAGTTGACGAACCTGCCTTTCCAGGTGTGTGCTGGTTTCCCATGCTGGATCACCTTCTAGCCAAACTAGGCCCTGAATAGAGCTGATGATGGGCAAGGCCTCCCCTCCTCTCCACCTCCAGTCAGCAGGGGCCACTACCTCATTCATCCTCAAGCTCTGGCTGAATCCTATTAGTACTGGGAAGAAGCAGGCAAGAGGCACACTCTAGCAAGTGACTGGACTTCTGAGAGAGAAGCCAGTCCTCCCTACCAAGAAGACAACTGCTGTAGGCTAACAAAGGGACAGATAGGGGTGAGCTTGGATTTTTGTGGGTATTTTGTTTGTTTTTGTTTTTGTGCTGGTAGTGGGCTTGAATGTAGGCCCAGGGAGTCCTCCCTTAGCTAGCTGGCACTCCACCACTTGAGCCACACCTCCACTTCTAGCTTTGGCTGTTGGAGATTAGAGTCTTACAGACTTTCTTTCCCAGGCTGGCTTCAAACCATGATCCTCAGATCTCAGCCTCCTGAGTAGTTAAGATTACAGGCATAAGTCCCGGGTGCCCGGCTTGGGCTTGCTTTTTAATTATGATTTTCCCCAGGCGGGGGGGGG